ACTTATATGCAAAACAATCCCTTTATGCAAAGTAGACTAGATTACTGGATAATATCAGAATGTCTAGAGGAAATGGTTATGAAGTGCGATATAATTCCATCTGTTGCCCCTGATCATCATTCAATATTTTTACGTTTATTTGACAAAACAGTCAATAAAACGAATGGAAGAAAAGGGTCATATTGGAAATTCAATAATAGTTTATGTGAAAATGAAGATTATGTTAGAGAGTTAAAAAAGAAAATTTGTCAATTAAAAAACGAATTGCAAACTAAAATAAAAGACAAAAGGTTGTTATGGGATTTTTTAAAAATGAAAATTCGGAGCTTTACACAAAAATTTTCAAAAAAATTGGCTGATCAAAGAAGAACAATAAGAACAGATTTAGAAAAAGAAATACAATGTTTAGAACAACAATTGACGGAAAGCACTAATGCAGATACTTTAGAAAAATTGGAAAATACAAAAAAGAAATTAAAGGAAGTTTATAGCTATGTAAATGAAGGAATTAGGATTCGATCACGAGCCTCGTGGTACGAAAGCGGAGAAAGGGATTCGCGTTATTTCAATCAATTAATGCAAAATAACAAAAGAAAGAGTACTATTAAAAAAATTAAAACCTCAGATGGTGCTATTTGCTGCGATGAAAAAAGGATAACTGAAGAAATCCGGAAGTTTTACAGCATGTTGTACAGTAAAGTAGAGTACGAGTGCTCGGATAATTGTTATAATAGTTTCTTTCAAGGTTTACCGAAATTGACTGAAAAATCTCGAGAATACTGTGAAGGATCTATAAGTAATAAAGAATGCCTAGAAATTTTAAAAGAATTAAAACAGAACAAATCACCTGGAAATGACGGTTTTTCTTCAGAATTTTATCGTACCTTTTGGCCGAATATTGGAGATTTAGTTAAAGATGCCTTGAATGAAGCATATAGATTAGGAGAATTAGCATCGTCTCAAAAACAAGCTGTAATTACGTTAATCGCTAAAGATGGGAAAGATCCCTTTTCACTGAAAAATTATAGACCCATTTCCCTTCTTAATGTCGATTATAAAATCTTAACAAAAATTTTGGCTAAGCGAATCAAGAAAGTATTAAATGAGATCATTATGGGAGATCAGGTGGGCTACATGAAAGGGAGGAATATTGGTGAGGCCATTCGCATTATAGATGATATTATTTTTCATACATCCCGTTACAATTTATCTGGTTTTTTGTTAGCTGTAGACTTCGAAAAAGCTTTTGACTCAATTTCACATCAATTTCTTCAAAAAGTTCTGTCGTCATTTGGTTTCGGTCCGTCCTTTCAAAAGTGGGTTAAAGTTTTATACATGAACACTCTAAGTTGTGTATTAAATGAAGGAGGGTCCACTGGTTATTTCAAAGTAGAAAGGGGAGTAAGACAGGGAGACCCTCTTTCTCCGTACCTCTTTATCTTGTGTATTGAAGTAATGGCACACAAATTACGAATAGATAAATTGGTGGACGGAATTAATTTTGGAGATAAGGAAACTAAACTAGTACTTTATGCGGATGATATGACAATTTTTGTTCGCAATAAAAAATCAATTAATAGGTTAAAAGTATTATTTGCAGATTTCGAAAAAATTTCTGGACTGAAAATAAACAACGACAAGACTAAAATATTAAGGTTAGGTTCATGTCAACGTTTAGATTGTGATTTTGCTTTTGGCGAAATAGTTGACTTTCTTAAGGTTTTAGGGATTTTCTTTTCCCTCGATGAACACAAGAAAGAAGATCTAAATTATAAAGAAATCTTAAGTAAAATAAAAACACTTTTAAATTTTTGGAAGCAAAGGGATTTAACACTTATGGGTAAGATTCAACTATTGAAAGTGCACATTTATTCTAAAGTTCTTTATCGGGCGTCACTTACTCCTGTTCCAAAATGGGTTTATGATTCACTGGATGAATTAACTTTTGATTTCATATGGAAAGGAAAAACAGATAAAATCAATAGAAACACCATGTTCTTAGACTATAACCAAGGGGGGTTAAAGATGTTAAATTTTTCTGCACAAGTTAAATCGCAGCGAATTATGTGGATTCAAAAACTTCTAAACAAAGATGAAGACATGAAATGGAAACAATATTTTAACTTTGTCACTGAACACGTGGGTGGAGATTTGATATTTTCATGTGACTATATACCAAGTTTATTAAAAGTGACAGCTCCACAATTTTATAAGGATTTATTAGAAGATTGGGTGAATACGAGACATATAAGGAGTATAGACATTGGTGATGTGGTAATTTTTAATAATAAACTTATTCGATATAAAGGAAGTTGTATATACGATAAGAGGTTGTATGACAAAGGAATTTACAAATTAAAACATATTCTGGAAAACGATGGTAAACTAAAAAGTGACAGGCATTTTATCGATTTAGGTGTTGAAGTAAATGAAATTGAAAAGATCAAGCACTTTTATACCTGTTTACCAGTTTGTTGGAAAAATAATTTTAGAAAGGGAGAAGAAAAAAATAATTCTGGAACTGATTTCACTTTGGGGAAGAAAACAACTAATATAGCTGATTTAAAATCAAAACAAATTTATGTACAATTAATAAAGAAAGATGATTTTAAACCTTTGGTTTTTGAGAGAATTGGAAGGAACTATGGTTTTTCCTGTAAGGAAATAGAAAACATATTTTTAAGACTAAGACAGTGTACACTTAACAGTCGATTAAGAGAGTTTCAGTTCAAACTTATACATAATATATTATATACAAACCATCACCTCTTCCGTTTTGGTCTTGTCTCGACTAACTTATGCTCATTTTGCGAAAAAGATGAAGAAACATATAAACATTTATTTTATACTTGTGAATTTGCACAATCAGTGTGGGAAATGTGCACGAGATTTTTAGACTTTGAAATACATAACTGTAGTTTGGAGGAAATTCTGTATGGGAAAGAGGAGAGAAATAAAGGAAAATATCAATTAATGAATCATGTTTTAATTCTTGTTAAATATCTGATTTATAGAAATAGAGAACTTAAAAAACCACCCTCTTTTAATGAAATAAAGAATAGTATAATAGGGGATAAAGTAGAAGAAAGGAAATTGGCAGCAATGAGGGGAACTCTCACTATTCATTTTTCTAAATGGGAAAACCTGAGTATTAGACAAACAATTGGAACCCAGAGCCAGTCGTCCACCGGTTAAGAGGGGGGGGGGGAATGGGGATAAGGGAGAGGTCGGGTAGGGTAGGGTTAACAAAAAGAGAAAACTTTTCTCTCAGGACAACAGTATAAAAAGAAGTATAAGTTGCTACATTGTTAAAACAAAAAAAAAATTGGATTATACAACTGCATATGTTTTCTTTGAAAATATGAATTTTTGTTTCAAATATGATGTATAGGAACTATGTAAGTTTCTTTTGAAGCCGTTTGTAAGACAAAAATTTATACTGATTTATAATGTCATCACATTTGCAGTGAGAGTTATGATGATTGTAATTTGTACTATGATTATAATTTGTTTCAAGAGAGAAAAGAATAAAAACTGACCATAAAAAAAAAAAAAAAAAAATTACTGGGCCCCATCTAATACAATGAGTTGATATTAATCGCAAATTATTTGCGATCGATATCAATCGCTGCAACTATGTACATAAGAGAGAGGAGACTCCAAAGTTGCGATTGATTGGAGGGCTTACGATTTAATTGGATCAATCGCAACTCTTTGTAAGACAGGGCCCATCAGATCGATTACAAAATATCAGAGAATGTATATTTTTTAATTGCACTATAACATTCCCTAAAGCACAAAACAGTATTTAAGAATCAATGGGAAGCCCGCCTTTTCATAAACATGGGGGGGGGGGGAGGGGGTGTGGTCCAACGGTTTCAGCCAGCAATCCCTTAGGTCCATCACTGTTCTTTATTCTTTATGTAATTCCTAATACTCACGTCACAATTATAACAGACGACGCCGTTGGAAGTGACAATGGCGCTAAAGGTTTTGTCAAACCAGCGATTATGAGGCGTGGGACCCGCAACACCATGCAAGCAGGACTGGGAAATTAGAAAACAAGCAAAATGATAAGAATATTAGCAAAGGAGATGTTATGACATTTTAATTTGGATTGTTAAAACATTGATTAACATTTCATCGTGCTATATAGAAGGTGATTATTGACTTATAGGACACCAGATTGATCTAGATTACAACTAAGTTTCAGGGCAACTATTAGAGCGAATTAATATTATTCTTATGAATGGTATTAAAAATCCATAGACATGATGTATCTTAAATCGTTCTGAGAAAAAATAAAGCATGACAAAGAAAAAGACAATGTCAAAGAACGGCTGATATTCTTTGCTGGTGATCATGTTGACTTTGGTGATGATAATGGGAATAATGATGATGATGATGAGACGAATAACATTACACAGAGCTATCGATGCTGTATAGAAGGAAATAATGTTGATAATAAAAAGGATATTTATTCGAATTCCATTCATCATGATGAACACCCTACCTCTGTGTAGCTCTTGGGACTTCCATCATCCAGAATCAACCCCATGATACTTGTCTTGATGATCTCAATGTGACTTCTGTTGCATGAATCTAGAGATACCAGATGATCGAACGCCTGCAAACAGGAATACAAGTGACAAGATTGACATATTCAAAATATATTAGGCAAGGCAGTGAGATGAGAGAGAGAGAGAGAGAGAGAGAGAGAGAGAGAGAGAGAGAGAGAGAGAGAGAAGAGAGAGAGAGGGGGAGATAGAGAGATAAATAGAGAGATATATATGTAGATAGATAAAGAGAGAGGGGGAGAGAGGGAGCGAGAGAGAGAGGGAGAGGGAGATAAAGGGGGAAATGAACAGTAACGGAAAGAGAAAAGAAGGGCAAATAAGGAAAATAACAAGAAATAGATAACATACCTGAGCATAACTGACCCTGTCGTCTGCAGTCAATGCCCCGATACCTTGCCCTCTTTGACTGCATGATTCTTTGATAAATACCAGCTGTCTGCATGAACCATAGACATAATTGAAAGAGAGATAAATTCAGATTTAAAAAAATGATCTTTTGCTCGATGGCCTTCCCATCTGCCGCTACAAAGTATGATGATAGAGAAATGAATTATGAACAACATTTTGTGTTCATCTGCTCTCCTCTTAGAATTACAGGGGGGGGGGGGTTGTTTCACAAAGATCCTAAGTCGAACTTAACTCTAAGTTGGACTTAAATATTAGGGAGAGCCATTTGTAGCCCTATAATGAAATATATTCAAAAGGGAATATTCAAGTATTTTAGACTTTTCATAAATTTCACATCAAGAACATGAACTCTTTCATGATAATATAAAAATATGAATGATTTGAATCGACATTTTATGCCTTTTAAAATAACTTTTGCAAAATATTTTTCAAGGATGCTAATGGCTTTCCAACTTAGAGACAAGTTCAACTTAGGATCTTTGTGAAACACCCCTCAGGTGTAATATTCACTATAAAAAATCAACCAATTAGGCAATCTCAATAGCTGTATACGTCATTATATTTAAAAGTGTAAACATTACAATGACACCTTCACTGCTATTATGTAAAAAAATAAGTAGCACAGGTGAATGTACATGTGACACCTGTTCTACACATTTTTACATAATAGCAGTGAAGGGATGTTCCTTTGTCTACCACAGCAATTGTTGAGGGTAGAATGAGGAACTGTATATTTTGTCCTCTTTCTTTGTCCGTCATGTTCATAGTGATATAAAGGGACATACATTATAATATGGTATTGAAGTTGCAGGTGATCTAAATGATTTTTAGAAAATAGTTGCGATCGTATTGGAGATAAACTGCCTTGCCCCTTCTACATACCTTAATTTTTTAAAATCGCATTTTAACCTCTTTTTTTTTTGGGGGGGGGGGGTGGGTTATTTTGTTGAGAATTCCCCTTACCTGTGTATCTCTGGAGGGGTCAGAACTTGACCTTCCAGATCAAAGACGGTCATCTTGAAGATATGACCGTTACACATCACATGAATGTGGGTGGGACATGGACCCTCCTGCTCTGTAAGACATTGACAAATTAAACAGGGTTCATTATGTTCAAATTAAAATTAGATCAAGCTTTTGAAATTGAATCTATACTTTTGGATTATCCTCACAAATACAAGGATATAAAGAATTTAAAGCCCCTCTAAAGTGTTGGGAGCCCCAAATTAGCCCAAAACTTGATGGCAAAATTTCACTTAAATTGTATCATGATGTTAAAGAGGATGTCATTTAAGACACATTTCTACACAGATCCCCCCCCCCCAAAAAAAAAAAAAGAAGAAGAAGGGTTTGAAAGGAGTACACAATTCGGGTTTTCTGATGTTTTCCTAAATTTTATATTCATTCATCAATATTCGACTTCAAACACATTTGTTTTGAAAACCCTTGAAGAAATGTGTCCTATATCCTCTTTCACATTATGATACAACTTCAGTGAAATTTTGTCATCAAATTTGTAGGGCTCCCGACACTTTAGAGGGGCTTTAAAGAAGTGAAAATGAAAACCCTCATTAGATTACGTATATGATAATCGCACAAAGGATTTTCTTGATTGAAACGAAACCTTTCATTAATATCATGAAACAGACAAAGTCAATATACAAGAGGAAATAAATAAACATAGAGATATTGGGAAGAAGGGGAGGAGGGGTAAAAAGATGACGAAAAAGAACAAATGAACAGAAGAGAAAAAGACAGTGAGAGAGAGAGAGAGAGAGAGAGAGAGAGAGAGAGAGGGGGTGGGAAACAAAATGAAGAGAAAATGGGAAAATATAGAGTGAAAAGCAAGGCGAGAGAAAGGAGACTGGAAGGGAGAGAGAGAGAGAGGGAGAGAGAGAAAGGAGAAAGTGAGGGAGAGAGAGAGAAAGAGAGAGAGAGAGAGAGAGAGAGAGAGAGAGAGAGAGAGAGAGAGAGAGAGAGAGAGAGAGAGAGAGAGAGAGAGAGAGAGAGAGAGAGAGAGAGAGAGGGGGGTGGGGAAGGAAGTCGAAAGCTTAAAACAAAAATCTTAACCTGTCTTGAAGTATCTGTAGAGGGAGTCCTTCTCTTGTCCTGGTTCCCGACATGCATGGAAGAGTCCTCTCATCTGGTCCATAGAATATCTTTGGGTTCCAGCCCGGTTCTTGTCTCCCGGAAACATCTCCCTACAAGGATCGAACATTTCCATTTTAATTCCTAGCTTCTCTCTCCTTCTCTCTCTTTATTTCTGTCTTTTTTTCCTCTTTCTCTCTTGTATTCATTTCCCTCTTCACCATCTTTTGACTCATCCTCCTCTCTCTTTCTATTTAATCCTTCACAATGATCTAATTTTTCAGTTTGGGTATATAATGATCATCTGGCTTGATATGCCTCAGAGTAATCCAACAGTCTACAGTCTTAGAAATACAGACTAAAATTATTAATGTCCTATTGCTGTTGAGAAAGTTCAATATAAAGGAAAACAATCTTTTTAGTTAAACCTCATGTTACTTAGGTTCTTTTCTAAACATTTCAATTAATTTGTTTCAGCTCATAAACGAAATAATTCTTGCGTTTTATACACAAGCCTAAAATGCTTAGGTCAGAGTTTTCAAATATTTTGAAAGAGAGTTGAGATGAAATCAGTTCTTTTGTCAGTAAGTATATACATTTCTTTCCAACTGAGTTGGGTTGCCGCCACCCCCTTTTTTAAAAACTACTCCGTATTACGCGCGAGTGCAGAAGACTAAACAACTTTTAAAAATATGTCGAGATATTTTTTGTGGCGTTGTATTTGTTTTTGTATATAAACAACTTTTTGCGATTCAAACTGTCATGGCTTACTTTCTGAGAATTTGATAAAAGAAAAGTAGATGCCAAAGGAAGATGGCAGCCCTCTCTAGCTGAGTCCCTTCTTCAGGGGGCCACACCGAGGTCTGGGTGGGCAGAGGTCCGCAGGGATTCTGGAGGACTCCTAAGGGAAGACGTGTTTCCAAGTAGGCCTTATCCTCCCACCATTGCTCAAGCTATGCAGAGAAAGAGACATGCAAAGAGAGAGAGAGAGAGAGAGAGAGAGAGAGAGAGAGGGGGGATAGAGAGAGAGACAGAGGGAGAGAGAGAGAGAGAGAGGGAGAGAGGGGGATAGAGAGAGAGACAGAGGGAGAGAGAGAGAGAGAGGGGGTGAGAGAGAGAGAGAGAGAGATAGAGAGAGAGAGAGAGAGAGAGAGGGGGAGGGGGAGTGGGAGAGAAAGAAAGAGAGCGAGTGTGTGAGAGAGAGGGGGGGGGGGTGGTGAGAGCATATTAAGAAATGTATTCCTATGTAAGCTATGTAGCTTGAGTTCTGCTACTATAAGGAAAGTTTTTGTTTAGGGGGGGGGGGGGTAGGGGGTGACAAGGGGGGGGGGGGGTAGCGGTAGTGCTCCATAGGGATTCTGGAGGACCCCCTATATAACGTAGGCGTGTTTCCAAATAGGCCTCGTCTTCCCAATCATTGCTCTAGCTGTTACAAGATAAACAGAGAGAGAGAGAGAGAAAAAAGAGAGAGAGAGAGAGAGAGAGAGAGAGAAAGAGAGAGAAAGAGAGAGGGGGGGGGGGCGTCAACCTCTGAATCCCCCTATACATTAAGGTTTGTAATTTCACAGATGTTCTCGAAGTGCACATTTTAATATTACCCAGACCTCCTTCTGGTTTCATAGTTTGAGATACGGTACAACTTTAGAATATGCCTATGTTATCTCAGGTAGATGTGAAGTTTGTAAGTACATTGATAGCTTCAAGAGGGAGGTACACGTTAGAACGCTTCATGAATTAACATATTAGGACTACTCTACCCAGTGGCGGATCGAGGGGGGGGGGGGGCGGGGGCCCGGCCCCCACCTGGCCCCAAAAATAGGTTTTTGAAAAAAAAGATGGTAACGCTAATTTTACCTCTAAAAAAGAACGGTAGGGAGAGTGAAGGTGCCGGGGGGATGCAATCGTAATTTAAAGGCAATATACACAATGTTGGTCAAAATCAAGAGTTTGGTTTTAACATTTTGTAGATATAGGTGGGCTGATAACAATCTGATAACCTGTGCGCTTCAGTTAGCCTTGAATGTAAAAATAGGACAATAGAAGTTGCGGTTGTCTGTCCAACCGGCCAAATCTGTTTTCTTCTTTAAACCGAACCTCTTCGTTTTTAAGGATGGATAGAATCTAAGGTCTACATATGATCTATTTAGCATTAATGTCATTTTAATATTATGAGATTCCAGTATTTACAATTAAGTCTCTGTATGAACACGACAAAATGTCGATGACGGATAGGCAAAAAATAATTACTAATATTTATCGATGGTACTAGAGCGAGCCTTTTAGGGGTTGAACTCTTACCTAAATATATCTAACTATTAAAAGATAAATAACCCAAGGAAATGTATTTCTGCCATTTCTGCTTTTACCAACAGGGTGTAGGCTATTCCCTGAACAATAACAAATAATAACAAAAAGCTATGTGAAAATGCATGAATGATGATTGAAACGATACAAATGATGTTTTTACAGTTTTAATTTCATTAATTTATTTTGTATATAGCTCACCCAGTTTTTCATCTTTTTAGACTTCTCTACAAGCTTGGCATGTAACGTCTTGCCAACACCATGACCGAACTCTCCCACAATCCTCTTTGTTTCCTGGTATTCATCTTCCGAAAGAAATGGCTTTACTAAAATAAAGAATAATAATATCTAAAGTTTCTATATTTCCCATGAATTGATTATCGAAATACATGTAATTATTGCACCTAACAAACTTCACCTACAGTGTATAATGTGAAGCTCGCACTCTATCGAGATAACCTTTATGTGGCATACGGTGGCATATTTTCGCAAATGGGGGGAGGGGGGGGGGGGGCAGGCGCGGATCAAGGATTTCTTTTCTCAATTCGAAATTTAGTGTGCTGAAATTTGAAAATCGTGCCGGCCATTATTTCACTCAGTTGGCGGGGGGGGGGGGGGGGGGGGGGTAGTGTGCACAATTTTTTTTTGGCCCTTGAAAATTTGAAAAATCGCCCCCCCCCCACCTTGAACGCCAGGGGATGGGGCTATCTCCAAAAAAAGGGTAAAATTATCGTTTCTTTCCCAGGGCGGAGCCCTCAGAAGCTCAGGGGGTTTTATACATCGAATTATCGTCGGATGAGCATAATCTTATGTGTGACACTGGCAGGACACAATTCGGTGTTGGATCCAGGGCAAACGCGTAGACAGGATTTCATTTTAGGGGGGGGGGCGGTAGTGAGCACGCGAAGCGCGCTCCTATAGGGGGGTGGGTGCAGGATAGGGAGAGTTTCATTAAATTATTAGAAAGTTAGACGATTCGTTGGACCGTTCTCGACTCTTAATCCTTGTTTGAAACAAGTTCCCCTTCCTTCGCGCGTAGCGCGGAAGCTCTGACGTTTCATTAGATTATTAAAGAAAGAAGACGATTCGTTGTACCATTCTCGACTCTTAATCCTTGTCTGAATTCAGTTTCCCCCGCTCCCGCGCGAAGCCCGGAAGCTTTGACATTATATAAATTATTAGAGAAAGAAGACGATTCGTTGTACCGTTCTCGACTCTTAATCCTTTTTCTTCCTACATCTTCTTCCTTTCTTCTTTCTCTTTTTTTTTGGCCGGCGTTTTGGGGGGCGACCGCCCCCACTGCCCCCCTGGCTAAGCGCCTGATCCAGGGGCGAAGCCCTCAGAAGCTCAGGGGTTTATACATCAATATATCGTCAGATGAGGATAATTTTATACCTTTTTTGTGACACTGTCAGGTCACGATTTGGCTTGGGGTCCCCGGAAGCTCAGGGGTTTTGGGCAATAAATTACGGTCAGATGAGCATCCAGGGGCCCGCCTTCGGGCCATTGTTAGGGTTCGGGGGGGGGGGGGGGCAGAGCCCCAGAAGCTCAGGGCTTTAGGCATTTAATTACGTCAGATGAGCATAATTATTCCTTATTTGTGACACTGGCAGGACACTAATTGGCGTGAGGTCCAGGGGTCCTAGACCCCAGACCCCAGACGCTCAGGGGTTTTAAGCATTAAATTACCGTCAGATTAGCATCCAGCCTTCCGCCTTAGGGCCCTAGGTGGGCTCCAGGGGGCAGAGCCGCCGGAAGTCAAGGGGTTATAGGCATTTAATTACGGTCATATTTTGATACCTTTGATATATTTCCCCTTTTATTTCATTCTTTTTTTTCCTTTTCTTTTTTTTTCCTTCTTTTTTTTTTGCCATGGGGGGGGGGGGGGGGGCAGGCTCCCCCTGGATCCGCCACTGCTGGTTACACCCAAGATTTTTCGGAGGCAGGTCATTTCGAAGGTAAAGAGCCTGGTCTCATCTTCTTCTTTTTTTTTCTTCTTCAGTGTCCATGTTTCTGATCCATACATAAGGATGGATTGGGTGAGTACCTTATATAGTTGAAGTTTTGTAACATCTAATGTCTTTGGCTGTCAATATGCTGTGAAGACATTGAACAGCACCCAGGGCTTTTCCAATCCTATTCTTTTATGTCCTCTTTACATTTTCCTGATTGAGTGATGGTACCTCCCAGGTAAACAAACTTTTCCACCTGTAGAAGTTTGGCTCCACCTATGCTGATGTTAATGTCTTGCTGCTGTTTACTGATGACCTGGACCTCTGTTTTGGCAATATTGATTTTGAGGCCAAAGTTTGAGCTCCACTGGTGTACACAATCTACATGCAAGAAGAACTATGTCGTCAGCGAAGCGGAGGTTGTTGATCAGATGGCCTTGGATGTTTGTTCCAATAGGGGTGTCATAGGTGGCATGTATAACCATTTCTAGGATGATGTTGAATAGCTGTGGTGATAATACACAGCCCTGGCGTACCCCCACAGTTGTTGGTAACCAGTCTGTAAGTTCTCCATTTACCCTGACTGCACTAGATGAGATTTTGTACAGTGCTTTTAAGAGACAGATGTGCTTATTTGAGTAGCCAAAGAATCGCATAGCTTTCCAAAGTCCTTCCTGCCATATCGAATCGAATGCCTTCTCGAAGTCTATATAACAACAAAACAGACTTCTGTTCTTTTCAAGGTGCTTTTCTGCAATTTGTCTTAGAGTAAACAGTTGGTCTATGGTTGATCTCCCTGGCCTGAAACCTGCCTGGGACTCTGATAAAATTTCCTCTGTCTTCTTCAAGATTCTTCGTTGAAGGATTGATGCAAATATCTTTCCTGCATGGCTAAGCAAGCTGATTCTCCGGTAGTTTCCGCAGTCGAGCTTATCCTTCTTCTTGAATATGGGTGTTATAACCCTCTTAACCCGAATTGTCTGAATTTCGTTTTCCTCCTCCCACGCGAAGCAAGGAAGCTTTACCGTTTCCTTAAATTATGAGAGAAAGCAGACGATTCGTGGTACAGTTCTCGACTCTTTTCCCTAATCTGAATTCATTTCCCCCTTCCGTGCTTCGCGTGGAAGTTGAGACGTTTCCTTAAATTATTTAGAGAAAAAATACGATTCGTTGTACCGTTCTCGACTCTTTATCCTTGTCTAAATGAAGGTTCCCCCTCCCGAGCGAAGCGGGGAAGCGTTCTTGGCATTTCATTAAAATATTTGAGAAAAGAGACTATTTTGATGTAATGTTCTTGATTCTTAATCATTATTTAAATTTAGTTTCCCCGAAAATTGTAAACCTCTGATTTCTTCAGCTGATATTATAGGAAGTGAAACGTCGCGAAAATACAAGTATTATAGTTGCAGTCTCTCTCGAAGTCGTCATAGCGGATAAAAAGTCACAGCTCGTAGGAAAAAAGAGGACACTTTTTTTTTTCTTCTGGTCTCGAAATTTGAAAATTTGACATTTTGTTCAGTTGGGGGGGGGGGGGGGGGGTAAGGTCACCTTTTTTAGGTCTGCCATTGGCATAATTTTTAATAAAAATTTAAACATTTTATTACAAAAAAAAACAAAAAAACAAAAAAAATCAAAAGGGGGGGGGGGGGGTCACAAAAATAACACACAAAATATACACATAAAAAAACTCAAGGGGGGGGGGGTTAACCCCCCCCCCCCCCCCCCCCCTGCGTACGCGCCTGTTCAAACATGATTGGCTAGTTTGATAATGACGTCGAACGAGCTGCGTTTGTGCTGGCAGTGGTCCAGCGAGCGAAAAAGAGACAACCGGAACAATGAAGAAAAACTGCATGTAAAGTTCAGTAACCCTTGCTAAAGCCAGGGTAATAATCGGGGCAGCGCCAGGAGCGTCACAACGTGACGGACATGCGTGCTATATAAGAAGCCACCATTATTATTATCATTATTAATAAGAAGTTGATGCTTGCAGCTAAACAGCGCCTTCAATTTCTCTGAGTCTTGTAGCTTAATCAATATAGTTCTGAGAAGATATGAACAACTACAAAGCTGGTCTCCATCTATTGCGCTTTACGGAGAAACAGACTCTATCGATTGGGGGACATTGCTACATTTTTGTTTCGGGTCAATAATTTTCATATCTCTACTATTTCTACGTTCGCTAACTGAGCGGAGAGCAGTTCAACTCATTGTGTTGCTGCAGTGACTTAATGTTATAGAGGTGGATCGTATCTTCGTCTGTTAAACAAATTTTATGAGGACAATTTGTAAAATTGGAGTGGCTAATTGGCAATATCGACAGTATTTCAAATTTTCACCACGTTTTATCATGATCAACTACCAATTGTAACCAATTTAACAACACGTTTAACGCAGTTAGAAAATAATGTAGACTTGATCTCTCTGAAAATACAATCATCAATAATTAGCCAGCATACTAATGGACCCTACTCTTCTTATCAGTGGAATTAACCAAGTAACACGATGAGATATATGAAGTCGCTGCTTAAGATTTCTGCGTTCTGCATTGCTTCTGCATTTACTATCATCTACCATAACTGCTCCACGACTTTTCGATTACAAACAGTCACCAAAGGAAGATTACCATCAAGAGCTGGTTTTTCAAATGTGACAAATAAATATGCCAACGCTGTTGGGTATAATGTCACGGCACAAATGCAAATACTACCAGAACCTGTGGGATATAATGTCACGGCACAAATAAGACCCGAACAGAAACCCACTTCGGTTCCGTTGCGCGGATGGCGGAAAAATGTACACTGGGAGCCAGGAGCTGAGCTGGATATATATGATTTTTTAATCAATCCTGTCGATAAGTGCAACGCTGGAAAAGATGATATCACATTACTTGTCTTAATCAAATCAGCACCATGTAATACTGATCGCAGGGATGCTGCCAGGCGGACGTACATCAGTGGGGCCGCGAAATACAATGTGTCTACAAGGTTGCTATTTATCGTGGGAGATTCCGAAGCACAGGACGAGAGGGAAAACATCCAGGAAGAGGCCCGAAGACATAGAGATATTCTGAAGGTTGGCTTCCACGACGGTTATTACAATCTCACCATCAAACTGGTCATGGGGTTTAAATGGGCCTTGCAATTTTGCAACAACAGTAAATTCTTGATGTCGACGGATGATGATACCATGATTGATATCGTGACCCTGGTCAAGGACCTCGACGCTTTACCTTCGAAGGATCATTCTCAATTCGTGCTGGGATTTACAGAAGAGGGGTGCAGACCACGTCGCAACGTAGATAGTAAATGGTACATACCAGAGGACCTCTACCCAGGTAAGACGTACCCTCGATTTCCATACGGGCATGGGTATGTTGTGTCACATCACGTACTCGAAAAACTGTATCTGCTATCTAGAGAAACCCCAGCGAGGATACCGTTTGACGATGTTTATTGTGGTATACTCTTGGACAAGTTAAGCATCAGAGTACTTGACCGATCTACATGGTTGAAAGACCGCCATCCGCAAAAGAAGAAACAGGATTATTTGACGATTGAGGTATCACTGCAGGACATGGAGAAAGCTTGGACAAGTTTTGAAGAAGACTTTGAAAAATAGAGTTCTCGGCCCCATATTGTAGAGGTGTCGTGGTCGAGTGGATATGTCACCGGACTGTGGATCACAAAGTCCACGGTTCAAGTCCCGCCGCGGCACTAATTTTCTTTGGCAAGACATTGATCTACATTTGCCACTCTCCACCCAGGTGTTAAAATGGGTACACGGTAGGATGCGAAAGCTAATGTGGTTTGATCAGCAATGGCGCTTGTAAAATGGCGACTGGCTGGAATGCTCCCCAGGGAGTGGAGAATGTGCATACCTTGTATGCGGGTAAGCCTGAATCCGAAGACCGGGGTAATAATATGTTCCGCGCCTAGAAACGTAGTATTAGGCGCTTTATAAATGTGAGCTATTATTATTATTATTATATTATAAAGAGTTGCGATTGATCCGAATCAGTCTCCTATCTCTTATGTTTATAACAAGGATTGATATCAATCCTAAATAAATATTTAATCATAACTACTTATAACACAAGGCCCTGGTTCGTTTTACTATTGGGCTTATACATTTATAATATTGATATCGGATAAATTATTATAGGGGCCATTATTTGTAAAGTAAAACAAATTTGATTAAAAAAAATATGAATACTTTATGCTATTTGAAATATAACTTGGCTAATAGAATTCAACAACAACAAAAGATCGAAAGCGTCCGAAAACGAATATACCGTCTTTTGCTTGGACCGCAGTACCATCCCTACAAACATGCACTCGAACCTCTGGGTCTGACGAGTCTTCAAGAAAGACGAGAAGAGTTGACAATTAAGAATGACGTAAAAATGAAAACCTTGAAAATATTAAATATATTATGAAGCTTGAAAGTTTAACTGTAATATGTATTATAAATATATTTTTCTAAGAATAAACCCATCAATAAAACTGAAATTAAATATATCTAGGGTCGAAAGGATGGTTGTTGTAGTTTCTTGGAATATATTGATATATAATAATAATATAATAATATATAATAATAGCCTAATAGTCCACTCCAAATTTTATTAAACCGAAACAGAAATTCTTTTTGCCCAATTGATCGTGAGCCCGGCAGCCACTGAGCAGCGCCAGATCGACGTTGCTCTATCCCTTATTGTTGAACGCCAAACAAGGTAGCAACAACTCCCATCTTTTAACGTCTTTTGGTATGACGCGGCCGGGGTTCGAGCCCACGACCTCCCGGTTGTGAGGCAGACGCTCTAATGACTGAGCCATCACTCCGGTATAATCATTACTATTGACGAACTCTATTTCATTTTGTTCATATTATCATTACTCTTATTATTAATTAAATAATTTATTGTAGCCATTTTGTGACACTAAGGAAGAACTGATAAACTCTGTCGGTTGATCCGAAGTGGGTAATCCGTCGATCTTCATTTTAATGTTAATATTTTGTTTTTCTAGAATAGTCCATGTAAACAAATAGAGTTTTTTTTTGTTAAGTGTTGTGCTTTTTGTAATTCATATTTAATACTTGTAAATAAAACCAACCAACAAGCCAACCAACATTGAATCGTGGTAAAGACTAAGTTACACTACAGTTACGACCTGTCGGAGATGCTCCCGACAACCACTGGTCGGGAGTTAGTTGTCAGAGGTCGCTAAGAGATTGTTGACAGTTTTAAAATGTTATGAGTCTTAGGTGATTACAGATCTCCGGAGCGTTTTGGTTTGCTAGAGGTGTACACTGCAGCATCGAAAACCAATAAGGAACGAAACTGGTCTTGGAAAGATTTTTCTTGGTTTTCGAACGGATGGCGACAGTTTTCAGACTGATTGGCGACTGATCACCGACGGGTCGATATTTGGTTGGGAAAAGGTCGACAGCTGATTGACGAATAATATACAATCCGTTGTCGATTGATCTCCAAAGTTTCGTCGAATGCTGCACATTCTGAAATATATTGAGAGCAATTCAGCCATCGGCTGAAACATGCATATGGGAATTTGGCATAAAAACCCGTCCGATTTGCATGCTGCATGTTACATGCCATATTTAGAATGTTAAGGCATTTGAAGAGCTTGCTTTTGAGAGAACATTATTTTGTTATCCGACGCTCTTCCACACTTGCATAATAACAATGATAACGCTCACACATTATATGTCACCTCTTCCCAGAACTGAACTTTCTCTTTAATTCTCTAAATTGATTGTTTAACGCTATGATCGAACTGTGATTCGACTTATGTATCATAGTATTTTCCATCGAAACGGGGAATTGCTGTGCTCCTATTTCCTTTTAGAAATTAGTTTAAAGCAATCTCATTGACTGTATAGTAATACATCAAGAGAAAAGAAAAAAACATTACAATATAGATTTTAAACTAAAGTAAACAATTAAGAAATATTAAACCATAAGTACAATACAAAAGAGAAAATATAAGGTAGAATGCAGGATAAAATAAAGAATAGACTTAAATGCATAATAATCATGTCAAAGTATATTAAAGTATATTATAATGGGTGATGAAACAATTTCTCCTTTTTCAAATTAAATTATTACAATAATCACAACCTAGTGAGTTTGTATTTTGTCTATGTTCTTATTCTACTATTATTTAGGTGTTGTGCTATTTCCCAACGTTGATCCTTCCAACCATAGACATTAACGCAAGATGCATAGGAGAGAATGCTTACTGCTCATGTCATTACTCATGACCCTGCATCTGACGTCACGTTTACACATTATCACCAATAGCCTTGAGTCTATATTTGACCTCTCATCCCGACTTCGATTGCTTCAAAGAAGACGAAATATTCTGTATCTTTTAATTCTCTTCCCATTTGTCCTAGGGAAGGGTCCTAACTACCAGAATAGGCAATTCCTTGAGTTTGAGTTTTTCTCTCCTTTTTTTTTCTTCTCACCTTTTATTTTTCAAGTGCCTACCTGTACAAATCAATGTTAATAAGTGATAGGGACTTTTAGATTTACACGACGAGAACGTGGACCGCCACGTGTGACATCCTTTTAAGGTAATGTGACGTCCTTTTAAGGCACTGCCTGGCACGGCCCAGTGCCTTTACACAATGTCACACACGGCAGTCCACGCTCTCGTCGTGTAAATCTAAAAGTCCCTAATGGTATTTGGAGTGAGATCACACATACATAATGACTTTATATTCAGTGCTTCAGCTCAATCTTGGTACAAGAGGATTTTGACAATACCTTTTGAAAAGCTTACTGCTCAGTCACCCTTGGCAGCATTTGACCATTAGACAAGGTATTAGTTACCCTCAAGGTATTGTACAAAGTGCCAAAAGAGGGTTTAGACCTCTATATAAATTCATGTGAAGGTATCATCAGATTGTCCTAAAACTTGGCACACAACTACATACATTGTCTTATTTACTTTGTATAGGTATTAATGCAAAAGCTCACTCAGTTTTAAAGTTAAAGGGTCTCAAAATAATACACTTACTACCAATACCCCCCCCCCCCAAAAAAAAAAAAAAAAAATCAGACAAAGTCGGCCTAAAACTCTTTCTTCTAAATTGTGAGGCTATTACAAAATTTAAAATTAAATAGAATAAAGTATACTTTTTCAGAGATTTTGCAATCATTCCTTTTTCCTTTTCTATCTTTGTTTATTTGTTCCTTCTACTATTTTCTCCCATTATTTCCTCCTTTTAAAACTTTTTTCTATGTACATGTATACTTTGTTTTTAACTCTTATCATGCCACAGGGCTAATCCCCATTGTGCCAAGCCCCAAATCCCCCCTTGCCAGGTTGTTTTGGAAATAATTTGATTAACGCCATGGTTCTATGAATAGCGAGTGCAAAACACACAGCACAGTCCAATGAGCATGGACAATAACTATTACGAATGCACCCTTGCATGCACATGGTATTGTAAAACAGCCTTTGTAGAACTAATACTTCATCAAGCTCAGCTTCTAGTTCCTGTTTTCTCGTGCCATTACTTATTTGTGTCTGTTTTTATTTTCTATTTTCTAAATAAACCTATTCATTGCATTATGTTTTGCCTGAAAATTAAAGAATTATTTAAATTTGAAATACTAAAATCTGAAATTTGATCAAACTGACCAATACACCTTTATTGAGCTTTAACTGAAAATCAAACAAAGGGGTTATTTTTTTTTTTGGGGGGGGGGGAGGAGGGTGCCTGATCACAGAAATAGATATAAATATAATTTTAAAAATCAATACATGTGCATGATAAAGTAAACAGGAAATAGAAAAACTCACCACAGATAAAGACAACATAGCAATAAAATACATTACATAGGCAGGGAATCCGGGAAACCTAGCAAATAGTTAGAAAATATGCTTCACATTTATTATCGAGGAATTCATAAAATTTTTGTGTGTTTTTGTTCAAAAAGCAAGGTCATGAAATCTGCATCTATCATTACAGTAAATAATAAACACAATACCACTTTGCGTTGCATATGATATATTCTAAGTTTAAAAAGTTATTGGGAGGGCAGCTGCACTGCTGCTGCTCGGAGGAAGAGTACACAAAGGTATGCATGGAAATGTCGGCGGGCTCATGCCAGGTGGCTCCCATGCCAACCATTGTTGTTAACTTGGACACTGTGGACACATGTTCAACAACCTGGCACGCTTCCGTCAAGGACCCCGAGCTAAAAATAAAGGGCTGATTCATTTAAGACCAATTACAAGACTTCCTAAAATAAGAAATACGAAATCACTCACCAAATGATTAATGGGTACTAAAAGTCACAAGTACATATTTTTCTGTCTTTCCTATATGTTATTCTTAGTTTCTTCCTTCTTCTATTCTTATTATATTCATTGTTTTATTATCCTTTATTTCTTCCTTCTATCACTTTCTCTTTCTGTCTTTCCTTATCTTATTCCTTGTTTCTTCCTTCTATCACCTTCTCTCTCTGTCTTTCCTTCTGATTTCTTTGTTTCTTCCTTCTATCACCTTCTCTTATGTTACTCTTTGTTTCTTCCTTTTATCACCTTCTCTTATGTTATTCTTTGTGTTTATCGTCTATCATTTTCTTCCTACCATTCCTTATGTTAATCTTTGTTTGTCCATCTTTCATCTTCTCTTCTAT